TAAGCCAAGGAAATTATTTTCTACCTTTGAAAGAATCAAGAACAGACACCAAAAGTTTCCAAGCCAGACCCAAATCAGAATTAATATGAGTGAAACATTATGGGAAATTTGCAATTGTTGCTTTAAATTTGTTAGTATTTTTAGAATGGTTTTTAAGATTAGTAATTTTTTTTAGCAGATTTCTTTTCTTTACTATAATTTGGGGGCAGGAGAGCAGAGCCATAGACAGCATAGATGCATGCTTTATGCTGTACATACATCTAAGTAATGTCTGTGATGTTAAATAGTGAATATATTTTATTCAAGTGCAATACCAAAATGTTCCTGTCAAATAATAGCTATTCCAAAGCAGACAGTTCAACCTTTTCTTTTTATAGTGTTCAGTTTCCAGTTCATAACACACACACAAATCTTTTACTATTATACTTGGAAAGTAAGAGAAATGTCACTTTTACATTGGGTTTCAGAACGTTAGAAAATATGACTTTCTGATAGGGTACTCTCAGCTTGTTTCAGGGCAGTGTGAACATGATTTGTGAAAAGAACAGGATGCCTGCTCTGTCCACACAGCCCCAAAAGATGTCTCCTTGACATGCCTCTGCTTGGCCAGGCTGGATCTGTTGATACATCACTGTCTGCTTCAGCTCTGATGCTGCTTCCAAATTTCTGTTGTCTCTAACCATCAAGTGCATCGTAGCTTTGAAAGAGTCTGTTGTCTTGTGAAAAGCAGTTCCAGGGTCAATACAGGTTTTCTCATTGCTGTGTTTGCTGCTGACATCATCTCCAGAGAAACATCCAGCAAGAAGTGGAAAGAGGAGAAACAGGGTTGATCTGTTGAGGTCTCCTTTCCCCTACAGGATCAAGATGAACTACTTTCCTCTTGTAACTGTGATCCTAGGCTGAAGCCCTGGCAGAGGGAAGATAATCTAAACAGAGATGCTTGTGTCCCTCATTTTGGCTACCAGACCTTTATTTACTTAAAAAGTTAGTATGACTAAAGGAAATGAACTTAACACCAAAGCTACAAATTGACAAAGAACTCTGCCAGGTCTGGAACAGGTGTGGTTTTACAAGTCTCAAAAACCCAAAATCCATCTTTTTCAATAGTGGAAGATTTAGGGGCTCAGTGGGTCAAGTGCTTTGTGCACAAGCAAGAAGACCTGAGTTTGAGCCCACACCCATGTGAAAAGCTGAGTGTGGTGACATGCATCTCTAACCCCTATGTTGGGAATGGGACAGGGATAGGAGAACCCCTGAAGCTTACTGGTTAACCAATCTGGCCCAAATAGTGAACCCCAAGCATAGTAAAAGAGAAAACCCTCTTAAAAATGTGGTGAAGAAAGCCGGGCGGTGGTGGTGCATGCCTTTAATCCCAGCACTCGGGAGGCAGAGCCAGGCAGATCTCTGTGAGTTCGAGGCCAGCCTGGGCTACCAAGTAAGTTCCAGGAAAGGCGCAAAGCTACACAGAGAAACCCTGTCTCGAAAAACCAAAAAAAAAAAAAAAAAAAAAAAAAATGTGGTGAAGAGCCATAGAGGAAGGCCACCAATATTGATCTACAGCCTGCCCCCGCCCCGCCGCACACGTTAACACACTACCCACATATGTCCATTGTACATATGCATATACCACATATACACATATGAATTAAAATGGGAGAGTTTGAGACCTCATTTTCCTTAGCCTGGACTTGAATGAAAAAAAAAAAAAACTGTCTTAGTGAGAGGAGAGTTGAAGTCCAGGTCTTTTAAACCCAGGGGGTATCCTCAGTTGAAGTTGAGTGTACTTCAGCCCTTACCACTTGCCTTTATATAATCTGTGAGTGGATCACAAATGTGGTGGGAGGAAATTAGATACTCCCTTCACCCACTTGACAGACAGTGAAGAATTTACTTTTCTTCCCGACTTCTGTTTCCTAACTTTTAAAATACAGGTTAACAGACCTAAGCACCCAGCAACACACTTGATGACCCTACTGTTCTCTCATTGTCATAATTTCAGTTGATAAATGTACTTTGTTCCTATCTACTGTTATCTTTCAAAAACTATGTAGTGTTAGAATTCCTAGCCACTCCCCCAGCTCCATGACTGCACATATGCTGTTCAGTAGCCAAGCAAGATGCTTAGTCATTCCAGAGCCTTACGTCCTATGTAATCCATGCTCTGTCTGTCCGTAATTTGCACACAGCATGATCATGCAATCTATGCACATGCGTGGTGTAGCTACGTATGCCCATATGCACATGTGCAGGGGGAACCTACTGAAAGACCCTAACCCTTCAGCTTTACACCCCCAAGCCCCAGGAAATAAGAAACTAAGAAGGAAACTAGTTCCAAGGGCCACCTGACTCAGCCATTATTCAACCTGTAACAATGTAAAAAGATTTCTGTTAAGAGATGTGCTCAACTGTGACTGGGATAGTTGCAAGTGTTCCAGGAACGACCACTGTGACCTTTGGGTAAACTCCACTCCCACCCTGATACCCCCCTTGAGGTTTTAAGAAGAATGTACATTCGGACGTGACTGTACCCACTCTGTGATCAGACCATGATCTTGTGAAACGAAATTGTATGGGAATTGTAACCTTATGGCTTTTGTGGGTTTTTCCTTTAAAAGCCCCCATGGGACTGCAGTAAGATTCGGCTCTTGCTCTTAGGAGCAGAGTTTGCCTGTCTGTACAGTCGCTTTAATAACCACCTCATGCTGTTGCATCAACTGGACTGGAGTCTGGGTTCTTGGGGCGCCCCCTCGAGAAGGTAGTACCCTGGGTCTGGGGTCTATCACTACAAAAAGCTAGTTCCATCTGTTCTTCCCCTTTCTTCTTGCATGATCATTCCCATAAACCTAAGCACATCCTTTCTGTTCCCCTTCCCCTAATAAACTCTTATAGTGGGTTTTGTTGTACCCCATGGCTTTTCTCTCACAGTAAACAGTGCCACTTAATAAATAACACATAGCCTACAGTAACTCAGCAGAAAGAGAGTGCTGACCTGTTTCATGTTCAGAGTGATGGTGGTAAATGATTGAGGGGAAGGGGTCTGTCGGGAAATGCTGGGATGGGGTTGAAAGGGAATTTCCAAAAAGGAAATAAGAACTCATAGAGGTGGCAAATAGCTAGAGAGATACTGGTTCACTGATGCAAACAAAATTCAAATCTCTTTAGGAAATCATAGGCCAATATTTGTTTTGAAAGGGAGTTATATTTTCTTTATATTATCTTCATTATCACAAAAGCAGAATATAAAAAATTATGAACAAATTCAAAGCCATTGAAAAGGAAAATGTTAACCCAATAACCATATCCAACTAAAAACGTACATTCAATTGTGGGTATGAAATAATACATAATATCTCTCAAATTTTTAATGCTTGATTTGAGCTGACTATTACACAAGTATTCCAAGTAGATCATTCTCATTTTACAGATAAGAAAACCAAGACTCAAAGAAACAAAGCAATTTGCATAAGTTTCTAAATACATACAAAGTGAGTGATGGAACTGCCAACATCTACAACCTGCCCCAGGCCAACTGTCTTAAAGCTGGACTTGAAAGTAGAGCATAAACAAAGCCAACATGTTAGTTCCAAGGGATTACTAGTCTGTCTTATGACTACATCTGAGCTTTAGAAATCAACTTTTCATTCATTTCCTCCATACAACCTTTAGAGGCACTAAAGAGAAACACTGAAAAATAGATTGTCATGGAATTTCACTGGTTCCAGGAGAAACTCAGGAAGGTTTTGGGGAGACCAGAAAATATGCCCTGGGTGGTGAACATGACGGGGGTAGAGGACAGAGAGCAGGGAGATACTTGAGGAGTCTAAAAGCTGCCATGTATGTGGATTTGAGCACAGATGTAACATCTCAGCAACGTCTCACGTAAAAATGTCCTTCCTTTGCAACTTGATTGCACTTATCAAAAGTCCAGAGGGCTGGGAGATTGTCTGCTGGAAGGGGGTGCCCAGCAAGCCCGCCGGATTATACACACATTCACTTTGAGGGAGCCCATTGTGGGCGAGGCAGAAAGAGAGCAGGGAGCCCTGAGGAAAACAAAGCAGCCTCTCTCTCCCTGCAGGGAAGGAGCTGGACCATTCTTGGAAGCTTCCTGCAGGGAGCCAGGGCTGGTGCTATCAACAGCTTTAAAGTGGCCCTGCCTGTGTGACTTTTCTTTGCTTTCAAATCCTTGCTTTTCAGTTAAGCCCTGGGAGGTCAGTCAACACCACAACACTTTCCAATCAAGCTGGTAAAGATTTTACCTTCCCTTCACTCACAATCAAGTTTGTCTTCAACATTTCAGCTCCATCAGTGCTCAGAAATGGAATCTCAGAGAATCAACGCTTTCCATCTTGTACTGCTCTCTCTGTCTGTCCAGTGATGGGAATAATACTGCACTATCCGGGGACCTACCCCAGCTGAATTAGCTAGTGTCTACACAGGGTAATGAAAATTAAAGTGAGGTCTGGATATGAATGCTGTAAATAATGAACACATCAGCTATATATCATTATTCCAAAGACACATATTAATGCTATTAACCATGAAACCTGTGGCATGATTGATGAGAAGTATATAAGGGGTCCTTTTGAAAAAAGAAAAACAAAACAAAACTACTCTACTGGCTTTCAGTGAGATTTCTAAAAATAGTTTTATATTTGACCTCTAACCCATTTATTAATAGCTTCCTATTTTACATAGTCCCCATTGCTCACTACAGTCATTTTGATCATGTCACAAAAAAATATTCCACACAAGAATTGAATTTGGTGGTTTAGTCCAGGATGTAATGCCTACTTCTTTCTTCTGGAAGCAATTTTGAGAAAATTGGAAGGGGTACTGAGAAATAAATAAGAAAACCTGGTTTATGGAGGTCTATTCACACAGTGGGTCCCTGGGTACCCTGCTGCTGACATTTACAGCATACACACGTGCTCGCTCAGTGTGGCCCACCTGGGTGTGCCTCTCACGGCTGAGCCTCCCAGAGCACTTTCCCCTCTACTCACCTGCTTCTCTCCTTCCAGTTCACACACCTAGCATCATGATGAATGCCGTTCACCTTGATTTATGAGATCGGCGTAAATGCAGTAACATCAGAGTTTCTCCTGGAAGAGAGTAGAGGCAACAGAATGAAGTGTGCTCAAATCTCAGAAAACAAAGGATACCTTTTTTTTTTTTTTTTACCATCTTGATTCACCGAGGTAGGTTTGAACACATTAGTAGTAAACTCAGAGTCATCAATAATGCACCAATGTCACATAAAGGAGAGAAATCAAAGCACTTCCCCATGGGGTCGTATAATGAGAGTGAGTCCAGATTTGAAAGACCTGCTTCACTCTCCCCGTGTCTTCCATTGTCCTTGATTGTCTAGTGTACAAGTCTGAATCTGGGCCTGCCTGAAGGATATCCTGTGAATCTGTCCCTATGTCTGGGCTGTGTCTGTCTGTTTGAGCCTGTCGATCACGAACAAAGGGCTTTGCTCTCCTGTGGTGGTCGGGGCCAGCTCTCTTGCTGTCATATCCAATGAGAGGCAGGGCCAGCTTTTCCAGGGCCAGTGAAGGGTGGGACCAGCTCAGCATGGCCCTCTGATTTCATCATGTATGGCTCCTATGGCCCCCCGAGGTAACACAGGCCACAGACATCAATACACTGTTCTCTTAAAGACAGGTTAAACAAACAGGTTAAATATACAGCAGGACCTTAAGGTGTATTACTAACTCTGGCTATGAGGTCCAGCAAAAATTCCACTGTCTTAGAACATACGAGATGTTTTCAGGATATTGCATCACTACAATTCCTAAGAGTAAGGTCTGTTAATAGTTAAGTTACCTTTTAATTATAAAATTCTGAGCCCCTTTTCATACTGAGTTTTGACTGTTTGTTCTCTAATGTCCAGAATATACAATGAAATTTAAAAATAGCAAAAGCACAAGTAAAAAAAAAATCCTTCAAAATAATGTATTCTTTCAAACCACTTCCAAAATTTAGACTTTCAGTATACCAAATAACTTTAAAAGACAGACCTTAGCCAAAAGCAGTAACTAATTGCTTATAATATAGTGAACATTATTAAAACAAGAACTGAAGGGTGGTGGACTGCCCATTTATTCTATTTATTGATTAGTAAACTCTAGCAGTGATTTTCAAATGTTAGCCCGGAAGACTTGATAAATATGGGTTACTGGGACCCTTGACTCCATAGATTTTCTTTCTTTTGGGGGGGGGCAGTTCGAGACAGGGTTTCTCTGGGTAGTTTTGGTTCCTGTCCTGGATCTCGCTCTGTAGACCAGACTGGCCTCGAACTCACACAGATCTGCTTGACTCTGCCTTCTGAGTGCTGGGATTAAAGGTGTGCACCATCGAGGCCTGGCTTCCATAGACTTTCTTATTCACCATGTTGATGTTTGGCTTGTGGACCTGCATCCCTAATGACTTCCTTGGAAAGGCCAATGCTCCTGGCAGCACTCCAGCCAATACCAACTGTCATAATTGTCTGGACCCCGGAATACCCCTTTGAACTATCACAAAAAAGGACTTTCCCTTTTATCTTTAAAAGAATATAAAGGATGTTTAGAAGTCCTTGAGAACCTTGCTTCTCACATTCAGGTGTGACACATTCCATGTGAGGTCATTATCTTCATTGACTTAGTCCTGCAGGGGCCACATCCCTAATCTCTGCATTACCTCCAAAGAGCAGACAAGTGCCATCGTATGGTGATTTAGCTTGCTTTATAACACAGAAATGAAGCAAGAATGAATTTATTTAACAGAATGACTTAGAGTTATGTAATAATGTGTGGTATGCATCAGCGTGAGATGAGAGCTTTTCTCAGTTAAAAAAGGGAACAAGGCCTGGAGAGATGGCTCAGTGGTTAAAAGCACTGACTGCTCTTCCAGGGGACCCAGGTTCAATTCCCATCAACCACATGGCAGCTCACAACTGTCTGTAACTCCAGGATCCAACACCCTCACACAGACATACATGCAGGTAAAACACCAATGTACACAAAATAAAAATAAATAAATTTTAAAAAGGAACAAGAACTTAATAGTACAGAGCCAATCTTATTTCTTGGACAAACAAAGGCAGAAGACCATGGATCTATGCCACAGATTGGGTGGCATGACATGATGGACACCTGAAGAGCGCAATGGCATTCTCTTGGTGATGTGTGCCTGCCAGCTGCTCATCATAACTTATACAAATTAAATTAGGATTCATTTTTACCGATTGTTGTTCAAGAACTTTCTTAATTCCTGTTTTTTTATCCCACAGAATACACTCCTTCTTCTGAGGAGCTGTAGGCAGAGTCCACGGTGCACTGAGAAGGGAGACCAGAATGGTAGGTCTGGCCCTGTGACTTTCCCCAGCTTGTTTCTTGTTGGAAAAGTAGAAATTATTCACTCCAAATGACATGAGTTTTTTGTTTGTTTGTTGTTGTTGCTGGGTTTTGTTTTTTTTCTTCAATATTGGGAATTGACAAGGACTAAAGTATCTTCCCATCCATAAAGAAGGAAACAGGCTGCAGAGGGAGCTTGAGCAAAGATAAAGGCAGAGAAGCTATTGATGAATTCAGAGGAGCTCTGGTCGATAGAGAGGGAGAATCAGACAGACACTGCATGATGGAGAAGTTGGAACACATGGAAAATCTGCTCGCAAGGAGAATTGGCACTGTAGGTTTCATTTAAAGAGGAAAGTCACTGAAATTGACCTGTATATTAAAAAAAAACCAAACCAATTCTATCAATAGGTGAAAGATTCAACATGCCCCAGTTTAGAGGTTGATAATGATGTGTTATATTCTCTTGTATGAAGGGCTGTGAGCTCTAACTGAAGACTCACAAGGCTTTTTTTTTTTTTTAAGCTGCAACATTAAAATAAGGATTAAACATTGAGTTTAACTGAGAAAAGCTCTCAGGCTGGATACACACTGATGCATACCATGCATTATTACATAACTCTAAGTCATTCTGTTAAATAAATTCATTCTTACTTCATTTCTGTGTTATAAAGCAAGCTAAATCACGATATGATGGCACTCTCCGCCCAAACTTTTAAGCAAAAATATGCTTTCAATCAGTGGTCCTATGCTTCTGAATCATCCTCACTTCCCCTTTTCTGGTAGCATGACCCAGCCTTCCCTTCAATCACGCCATCAGGCTTTTGAATCATTCTCTCTGCACTTCAGGAGGTGTGGGCACTTCCCTACTGTTTAGAGCATAAAAGCCTGTCCTCTCCCCACTAGAAGATCACCCATGACCCTATCCATTCTTTGGGGGAGAATGACTCATTCCAATACAAAAATAAAAGTAATTTCTCAGAGAGGAAATAGCTATACGAGCGGATGGGGCCGGTTAGTTCAGTGGGAGTTGAAGAACTGTAGGACTTGGCAAACACAAGGGAGGAGGAAGCAGTTGTTCCCTGCCACGTCAGCATATTTTCAATGGCCTTCATGGAACTTTAGTTTGCTGAAGCCGTGTGGGAACAGACATTAGCCCATACTATTATTACCATCCCTGAGTTGATGTAAGAAAATTGATGTTCCCTAGTTTGAGAACTATATAATGTTGATCGTATATAAATAGACATATAAAATAACTTTGATTATTAACCTAGCTTACAATAAAGAAGGTAGTTTTTAGTTATTACAATATAAGCCATATATATATATATATATATATATATATATATATTATCCCAGGCATTTAAAAGGAAAAGGATACATACTTTTTAAAATGAATACAAGTAAATACT